TGTGTAGGTACTTATGTATGTATGTGTGTATGTTTTTTATAAGTTAAAACGTAATCAACCATTCATGCATCATCAATATCATAGAGAGTTAAACCATACATGCATTCATACATACACACGCGCGCACATACATGCATTCATTCATACATACACACATTCATACATACATACACACATACATACATACATACACACATACATACAAATCGTTATACAACTGAAGGCTAGGCGCTATTGATCTGTATATATTCGGTTTTGTTTGTATGTGTTTATGTGTGCTTGGATATGTTTGTGTTTGTGTGTGCTGTTGTGTATATTTGTCTGTATGTTTTTCCATGTATGTATGTATTTATGTACGTATGTGTGCATGTTTGTTTGTATGTATGTAAAAATGGATATAACCATTGTTTTAAAATTGTTTATATAACCAGGTATTCATGTTTGTAGGTATGATTGTATGTATGTTTGTATTGTTTGTTTGCATATATGTTTGTTTGTTTGTATGTATGTTTGTTTGTATGTATGTATGTATGGGTGTGTTTTTAGCGATTGCACTTATTTCACAATAAGCTCATTAAGATGTTAATTAAATTTTCAACAAACAACAACAAGAACATTTGTTTTGATTGACGTCATCATCTACGTCATCGTCGACAACAACATCATTACTATCATCATCATCATCATCATCATCATTATCATCATAATCATTATTATCATTATCATCATCACCACATTCGAGAGTTTCTGACATAGCCTTGTATACATTTGTACCTTTCCAATTTGAAACGAAAGTTACTGTTTTTTTAAGGAATTAAATTTCTTTTAATTTTGAAAATTCTAAAAATTTAAATTTTTATTCAAGTTCATTATTATTATTATTTTTAATTATTATTATTATTTATTTATTATTATTATTATTATTTGTATGTATAAACACTTTTTTGCAGCAAAGAATCGTCAAGAAAAAGTTATTTAATTCTTTGCGACGTTTTCCGCCAGTTTATAGCGTTTTTTTAAACTTTCATTTCGAAAAAAATTTAAAATGAGGAAAAAAAAGAAGAAGAAAAAAACTAAGAGAGAGAAAAAGAGAAAGAACGAAGAGAGATAGAGTGAGATAAAAAGAAAGAGAGAGAAAGAGGGGGGTTAAAAATATCCCTAGAATTCCCAAAACTGATTAAATTGCATTTTCTTCTCCGGCACAGCCATCCGTTAGCATTTTTTCGCATCCATCAACCAAGTCAGACGCCATTTTGAAAAAAAAATTGTTTTTTTTTCTCTCTCCCTCTCCGTTTCTCTCTTTCTCTCTCTCTCCGTATATCCCCATCCGCTCTCTGTGACGTCACATGTTATTCGCACAGGCCCCATCACTTACGAGCGCCATCTTCGTTGCGAATGTTTTATTTTCCAGAAGTGAATTTATTTAAATTTATTTATTTATTGCAGAAACATCTAGTAACAAAATCCTTTTATTATTTTTTTCGTGTTAAATTTAGAGTCAGCATTTGCAAGAAAAACCCCTACACAACAAAACAACACGCCCACAAGCAACAAAACACACCCACACACTAGCTCACACCCACACAAAACCCACACAAAGCCCACTCACGCCCACACAAACCTGCTCGCATTCACTTAAAATACAAGACAGCAACAAACATCAAAACAAAACTTCATTTCCAATTAGTTCATCTCTCTCCAGCCAGACATTCGCAACTCCACATTCGCGAGAAACATTTCTCTCTTTCCTTCTTTCTTTCTTTATTTCTTTCTTTCTCTCTCTATCTTTCCTTCCTTCTTTTATTCTTTCTTTCTTTCATTCTTTCTCCCGCGTCTACTAATTGAATAATTTTTCGGTATAATGTCTATCTTTTTTTTATACTCAACTATGTCTTCCCGTTTTGAAAAAATGTTTCGCCATTTTTTGTCACTTGTTCATTTTTATAAAACGCCAAACTATTTTTTCAACTAACCGATCAACCATTTAATCAACCAACCAAGCAAGAAACTGATCAAACATCAACCAACCAATCAATCAAGAAACTGATCAACCAACAAACCAACAAACCTATCTACGGCCGCTTATGCTTCAATGATAGATACTTATGGCAAACAACCAGCTATTCAATCAATCAATCAATCAATCAATCAATCAATCAATCAATCAATCAATCAATCAATCAATCAATCAATCAATCAATCAATCAATCAATCAATCAATCAATCAATCAATCAATCAATCAATCAATCAATCAATCAATCAATCAATCAATCAATCAATCAATCAATCAATCAATCAATCAATCAATCAATCAATCAACCAACCAACCAAATAACCAACCAACCAAATAACCAACCAACAATCAATCAATCAATCAATCAATCAATCAATCAATCAATCAATCAATCGATCGATCGATCGATCAATCAATCAATCAATCAATCAATCAATCAACCAACCAACCAAATAACCAACCAACCAAATAACCAACCAACAATC